AAATGTACTTCATCAAATGTTTTTAATAAATTCTATTTAAAATAATACAATACAATATTTGGAAAACAACATACAGAAATTTTAAGAATTAGTAAAAGAAATATGAATAAAAGTTTAGATTTCAAATATTCTGGCCATCATTGATTAAATATGACAGTAATAACGATACCGTTATAGTACACTGAGCCCCTTTTTTTGCCTCTCAGCATAGATTTTCACACATTATTATAAACATTTATATAAACATTTTGAAACATTTATTATAAATTAATTAATATTATTATATATAATTATTTATTTTTTCGAGCCGGATTCGAACCCACGATCTTCAGCTTGATACGCCGCTGCTCCACCACTTGAGCTATCGTGACCAACTTCCCATCTCACCTCTCGAATTTTCCCTCCTTTTTGCCATTTGCCTAGGGCTCGAATCCCGCTCGTGACACTGACTTTTTTTTATCTTAAACAATACCTTTCATAAATATTTATTAATTGAAAAAAATTAAAGTTAATCGAACCACGAACTGTAATGGATTTATTATAAACATTTACTACTTGATTGGTAGGCTCAGAAAATTGGAAAAGGTATTTAGTAGCTTAGGTAGCTTAAGTAGAGAGCAAAAGAATGTTTGAAGAATAGAGAAAGAAATATTTTGAGAAGGTTAGGAAGAGAGAGAGAGAAGAGAGCGAGAGAGAGAGAGAGAGAGAGAGAGAGAGAGAGAGAGAGTGAGAGAGAGAGAAAGACAGACAGACAGACAGACAGACAAAGAGAAATTACATATATGCGCTTCTAGATAATCATATGTATATAATAATAAAAAAAATATAAAAATGTGAGCTAAATGTGGAACAGTAATAATAACTGAATAAAAATTTAAATTCATTTGACTGTAATAAATCTATAAAGAAATAAATTATATAATTACAACATTTACTAACAAATTTACTAATTTGTTGAGAGAATGAGAGAGATGGAGAGAGAGAGAGAGGGAGAAAGAAAGAGAGGAGAGAGAGGGAAGGTGGGGAAGAGAGAGATGCAGGGAGAGAGGGAGGGTGGGGAAGAGAGAGAGGGGAGAGAGTGAGAGTGAGAGAGAGAGGAGAGAGAGGAGAGATAGAGAGCGAGAGAGAGAGGAGATTTTAAGAAGTTTTTTAGAGCGATTGGTTACAGATGAATACATCGGTTCGTCTGTTTTTGTTTTTCCCACTTCAATGAATGCCTATTTTTTTTTAACTGGACGAAGTTTTAATGAATTATATTATAATTGAGTTGCTTAAAAACTCATTAGTACATTCAACCCGAAATAGAGGACAAATCTAATCATATCTCGCAAGTCATATGGCATAGGGGTAAAATCGACTCAAGGCTGATGACAACGGGGAGGCAAGGCGGACCAGAATGACCTTTGACGATCTAACAAAAATAGGTGTACTGGTGTACAGAAATGGATATAATAATAAGACTACAAAGTTTTCTTTTATCAATTCCAAGTTATCCAGTGTAAGCTACTATGCTGAAACAACCCTCACCAAAATTGGCAAAAACACTGCTGCAATTGGAGAGGGCAAAACTCAGAGGAGTGGTGGGACTACTAACCGGTCACTGGTATCTGAGAAAACATCTACACAATATGGGTATATACAGCGATGACCCCATTTGCAGATTATGTAATGAGGAGGAGGAAACAGCCACTCATATCATCTTCGAATGCGAAGGAACAGCTCAATGGAGGTTTAACCTAACGTACGAAAAAGACTCAGGGAACCAAGTTGCAGCAATAACAGTCAATGACCTGATACTTCTGAGAAGAAGGATTGAGTCTATTGACTAAACTAGGGAACTGGGAAGGTACAATAAGCCAGAAGGCTGCAGTGCCTGGGGAACACAAGCCCCGCTTCCCGGCATCCCTTCCACCATACCATACCATACCATAGATCGTCAAAGGTTGTTTTATTTGTCAAACTAAATTGTTTTATTTGAAGTATAATGACTGAGAACCTGACGGACCAGAATGATCAAACCATTAAAAATATTTTTTGGAAACATTCATTCTTTTATTTTTCTTAAGTTTACGATTTAAAAATAAATTCTTATTCTGTCAGTTTGTATAAAAATATTCAAATAGAAGTATTATTTATATGTTATCCAAATGAATCCAAAAGTTATGTAAGTCTTAGTTTTTTATAAATAGCATTTTTTTAACTGGTTCTTAGTTTCTTCTGTTATTATTGAACAGAATTATTGATAATAAACTACATTATTACGAAAAATGCTGTTTATATCAGAAAATCCTAAGTTAGAAAGAGAAAGCAGTTTTATATATTATAAAAAATGGTTCATCAATCACTGTAATGATGAACATCTATTTATCTATTTTTTGTTCGTTTTTTATATTCCCCTAATAGCTACTGATTTTTTTTCTCGAGGCGCATTAAAAAAGATCGTCGGTTCTATTTCCCACATTTGCCTCAGATTGGAAATTTTCTTTCATAAAAATCTAAAGTTTGTTAACTGTATAATCGTGAGTACAAAAGAAGAACAGAAGTATTTAGGACGTGGAAATATCAAGTGCTGACTAAGCTGATTTGTCCTGAAATCAATTAATCTTCCTCTCAATATCCCTTTTTAAAGTACAAAAAAAAGGCAGGCGTATTACATTGTTAAGAAGGGATAACAGGTTCCAATACTTTCATTTATTGGCATTAAACGGGAGAGATGATGTCTTCCATTAATAATAGGATACAGTACTGAGGCTGAGAAAAATATCAGGCAACAGTGCACTTAAATTACTCGAGCGACAAGTAAACAAAATGTGTTGAATGCCCATATCACTTTGATGGAGTTGGATTGTACTTAGCTTGCAAGTTGGATAACCAATAAGCCGAAGCCTTGAGGTTGGGCCCGTTCAGGCCTTCTTAATTAGACAGTTTGAAGTATTTCTGGCCTATATTGTGAAATTAAGGAACTTCGAAAAATTGTCTGAACATTTCTCAATGATTCTTGTGAGAAATGCAAGAGTTGTCAGAGATAAAACCCGTGGTGACTGAGCTAGTCCGACTCGAATTTGCCACGCTTGGGTACTGGGTTCGAATCCCAAAGTCCGTGAAATTTTAATTGAAAATTTCTTGCTTCTCTTTTTGTTGAATGGTTCTCCTCTTGATTACAGAAACTTTGTAAACTTTTCCAACGTTTTATTTTTTAGTTAGATGCAGTTCAAGTCTATTTCTCCATTAGTCTCTAATTTATTTAGAAATCGTGAGATGCGGTCTGGTATGATGTTTCAGAAAAACATTTTCTTTATCGTGCCAACGTTTCTATCTTTATTGAAATCATCTTCAGGGCCTGGGATTTACAAACATTGTTTACATATTACAATTACATTTTGGATGTGGAAAAGTGAATTTATATTTCATATATGATTTATATTTTTCCACATCCAAAATGTAATTGTAATACGTAAACAATTAATTGACTACTTTCGTGGTCCGCTTGACCAATTAATACATGACAATTAATTAAGGTTTTTAGTTGAGATGAAAAAAAGCGCTAATGGCACGAGAGGGATTCGAACCCACGACCTTCGGCTAGATACGCCACTGCTCTACCACCTGAGCTATTATCCCTCGATCCACTCGGGCATCAACTCCCCATCTCAACCCCACCTTATGAGTTTTCCCTCCTTTTGCCATTTTTCAAATGTCGTGTAAAAATGAAGTACACTTCACTAAAGCTCTCCGTCGCCATTTCAATTGTCGTCGAGAATCCAAACCGATTACACAACATTTGAAAAATGGCAAAAGGAGGGAAAACTCATAAGGNTGTCCCATTCTTACGTGTCGTGTCGACAGTGCCCTCTCTCACTCTCAAAGATAAAGAAAATGTTTTTCTGAAACCTACATCACACCAGACCGCATCTCACGATTTCTAAATAAATATCGATTAACGGTCACCAATCACCACACATTAGTCTCTAAGGGAATTTCATTTCATCACGAGTATTCGTCTTACTTGTGGATGCGTTCAGACTTTGATAATGAGACAGTTGAAGTATTATTGCCGATATTGTGAAATTAAAGAACTTCGAAAAAGTTCTGAATTTTCTTCTTGCATTCATAAAGCTCCGTTTTTCAATCTGCTCGAGTCAGCGGGTAGGTTTTTCCCCATGGGGATAATCTCGTCTCGTCTCACATCTTTTATAAACTTCAATTCTAATATATTGAAGGGAAAAAACCGCTTTCCTGCTAAATATATCTTTTTGCGAGCCCGGTGTCCGTGAGCGGGTGAAGGGAGGATTGATGGATCGATTTAAACTTACTGCCACCATCTATACAGACTTACGGATCAAACTGACAGGTTTTAAACATTGGAAATACATCCATATTTGCTTATTGGTCATAGTTGACGATATTAATTAATGACCTTTTATCTAAGGTTTTTAGTTGAGATGAAAAATTAGTGTCCCGCTCGATACACTAATTTTTCATCCCAACTAAAATCCTTAGATAAAAAGAATAATTAATTGTAATTTGAAATACATATTAATAAGCGTCATTAAAAAATCATCCCTTTATTGGTTAATACCGAATAATTTTCGAGATTAATTAATAATAATAAAAGGAGTGCCGTTGGCCGTAACGGTTTAGGCGTTGACACGGCGCTCATCACTGTAAGGTAAAGGTCCCGGGTTCGAATCCAGCGGCCCTGCCTTCGAACCCGACTACTTACAATTTTTTTTGTTTCAAAAACTCCGACACCCTGCGGGATTTATGACCTCTGCTGTTGCGAACCCTCTTAAAAAATAAAATAAAAAATAGCAGACTAAGGACTCTGTAGTCTATAAGCTATTGGATATGTTCCTTCGACCATCGACCAGTGGACTTTCAGTTAAATTTGCGATGAGAATTACGTATAATCAAACTTGCACATGGTACAGGTTTGTGTGGTGTTAAAAAAAAATAATAAAACTACAGGTTCATTAACCCATTAAGAGAAATCTCACAAAATCATTTTTATTGGTGTGGTTGGCTCAGATGTGCATTTAAGCTGTCGTTGTTTTCTGTATATTTTAATGTCAATTTTATTTTATGTGCTCTTTAACGACGTTCAATAATTTGTTGAAATAGTGAGGAGTGGTCAGGAATGAAGTATTTTGGAAAAACACCTTTTTTTCATTTTCATCTTCAGTGAATTACAAAAACCTATGTTGATTGAAAAAAATAATTATAAATTACAGATGTAAATAATATAAATTTTGAACCAAGTATTTCGTACTCATGTGAAGTGTCGTGCTATACTTGTGGTGTCATGTTTGTATCGTGTCAATTTTATTGTAGTCGTGTTTAATTGTAGTCATTTTGAGGTCACAGGCTGTCTCTGTGAGTTTCGATATCACTGAATTTCGGTTTAGCCCCATCTTCAATGAGGAACGAGCTCACTGACCTAATAATGACCCAGTGCCAGTTCTTAGACCTCACAATGATGCATTTACCATTTCTGCTGTTGAAGTCGTCGAGGACGTGAAAAAACAGGAATCTCATCGAATAAAATTATTGTCGTTTTAACGACACCATCTTCGATTTTAACCGGCTTGTAGCTATCAGTCGAATCTATCGACGAATGACTTCCATTTGGATATACCAACGTCTAATTCTGGAATTTGCATGTTAATTGAAATTACTTAGGGAATTGTTTCTTCTGTAAACGAGATTAAGGCTTTGGATTTTGCAGATGATGTAGTTACATTGGCATCTCGCCCACAAGTTCTGCAAAAAAATGATGTTCTTGTTAGAAAAATATGTAAGTCTTTCGATCCTTCGGCTGGGCCTACAGAAATGTAAGATAATAATCGTCAACAAAGGGGAAAATGTAAAAAAAATAAATAAAAATAAATAAATAAAAAGTCGTAGCTATAGCCGTAGAGCTCAAGTGGTAGAGCAGCGGCGTATTTACCGAAGGTTGTGGGTTCGAATCCCGCTCGTGACAATAACTTTTTCACTTCAACAAATACCTTACATAAAGATTAATTAATTGAAAGAAGTTATTTGATCAACCGGACCACGAAATATAATGGAGTTAATTATAATATAATAATAAAAAATAAATACATAAATAAAAAAGTTGACCTCCTGACAGTCATGGCCATGGAAACAAATAATTACTCTTGAGTAATATATCAAAAAATTATTCATTATACATTTTTATATTGCAAAGAAAACATTTTTGAATTGAAAAATAAATAAAAGAAATAATTTATGTTAAAATAATTTTAAAAAAATCTTACTCTATCTCATATATTCATAAGATCAAAAGGGGAGAAAATCGAAAAGTAAAACACCCACCGAAGGGCCCATTTTATGAAGAAATCCCCGCTTTTATCTTCGACCTATTTTTCCCTTTTCTCACACGAAAAGTTCAGAGCTTTCTCAAAGAATTTTGAAAAACTCTTTGTGAGGTGTTCACCAATGTAATACAGGTAAGGGTGGCGTTCACACCTGCTTACGTTTGGCTTTATGTCTAGTATGGCACCTGCTGGTTTTCCACAGAGAACACAGTTTAGGTTAAACCAGAAGAAGAAAAAAAAGGACCAATGAATAAACACATAAATATTATTTAATTTGAATCATATTTGATTTTGGATACAAGATCAATTTATGAAAATCTCCATGCCAAGAAAGGATTTTATTGATTTACCCAATAGCCTATAAAAACCAAAAGGTTCACATTGCATAAGTTTAAATAAAGTATTACGAAAGAAGTTATACTTCGTATTAAAATCTATTTTAAAATGACTCTTATTTGAAAACTGGTTGAAAAGGGTACTGCAAAAATAATTCTTATATTTAAAACCTAGACAACGAAAAAAATAATAACCTAGGTTTTGATTTAAACGACTACTCTTGTTATATGAGAAAATACTAACAAATATGCACTTACAGGGGAATTTTGAACCATTAAAAAACATTATCAGGAAATGGTTTTCGATTGAGTTAAAAAAGTCAATGGCACGAGCGGGATTCGAACCCACGATCTTCGGCTTGATACGCCGCTGCTCTACCACTTGAGCTATCGTGACCTCGATCCACTCGGACACCAACCTCCCATCTCAACCACACCTTTTGAATTTTCCCTCCTTTTTGTCATTTTTCAAATGTCGCGTAATCAATTTGATTCTCGTCGACAAATGAAATGGCCACGGAGAGCTTTAGTGAAGTATACTTAATTTTAAACTTATTAAATTCACTAGTTTCCTGGTCCGCTTGACCAATTAATATCTTACAATTAATTAAGGTTTTCGGTTGAGATAAAAGTGTTTGTGTGTTGGTCAAGCAGACCAGGAAACTAGTGAATTTAATAAGTTTAAAATGAAGTATACTTCACTAAAGCTCTCCGTGGCCATTTCATTTGTCGCCGAGAATCAAATAGATTACACGACAGTTGAAAAATGACAAAAATGAGGGAAAATTCAAAAGGTGTGGCTGAGATGGGAGGTTGGTGTCCGAGTGGATCGAGGTCACGACAGCTCAAATTGTAGAGCAGCGGGGTATCAAGCCGAAGATCGAGGGTTCGAATCCCGCTCGTGCCATTGACTGTTTTATCTCAACCGAAAACCTTAATTAATTGTAAGATATTAATTGGTCAAGCGGACCACGAAACTAGTGAATTATCAGGAAATTTTTTTATACAAATCTTTTTCTTTGGTTAATTCCGATTGTCCTGGTATGTCTGACCTCACTGCCAAAACAGCGAGGAATAACGGGCCAGATCACTGGAAACGACCACATTACAGGACCCCAAATATTATTTATTTGTTGAATCATAATTCTATCGAGCTAGGGACGTCAAAAGTCAACTTGTTCGTAAACGTCGTTTTGAAACGTCGAAGCATTTCATATCCTAGAAAGAAAAGAAGTTTTTATAAGATCATACCAAAAATTCATGATCACATTTTATCCCAATCCAAAATAAACTAAACATTTAAATTATTATCACTCCTTAAAAATCTACATAGGGGCGTCGGTGGCCGCCGTTTAGGGGTTGACCCGGCGCTCATTACTGTAAGGTAAAGGTCCCGGGTTCGAATCCAGCGGCCTTGCATTCGAATCCGACCTACTTACAAATAGGCTTTTTTTCAATAACACCGGCACCTCGAGGGTTCATATAACCTCATAGTTGAAATATCCTCGTAAAAAAAAGAAAAAAATCTACATAACATATGCTATGCACAGTAATGGTTAAAGTTATGTTAAAATTATCCTTAATCAAAGAAAAGTGGTAGTACCAAGGTATTGAAAGAAAATAACAATTTAATATTTATTTCTGAATAAACATCGAAGAAGATACTGATTAGCTTAACTTAACTTAAGGTAATTATAAACAAACAAACCAATAAAATCGAAAAACAAACTGAAATAATTAAGAGTTTAAACTAGATAAGAATAAGACAGAAAATAAATGAAAATGCTAGTTATGATAAGCAAAGTTACAACAAAGCTAAGGCCGTTTGCCATTGAATGGATGACATTGTTAATTTAAATTTAATTCAGTTAATTAATCTTTTTAAGTAAGGTATTGGTTGAAGTGAAAAAGTTAGTGCCACGAGCGGGATTCGAACACACGACCTTCGGCTCAATACGCCGCTGCTCTAACAACTTGAAGGTTACGATAGCTAAGTGGTTAGGGCAGCGGCGTATTGAGCCGAAGGTCGTGGGTTCGAATCCCGCTCGTGACACTAACTTTTTCATTTCAACCAAAAACTTACATACAAAGATTAATTAATTGAAAGAGGTAATTTGGTCAATCAGATCACTAAATCTAATGGATTTAAATTTAATGGTACTTTATGGAAATTTAGAGAGTTGAGAGCACTAATATAAATAAAATGAGAGTAAAAATTGTGCAAACAAGTTACAGAAAAAACTCACATTTTTCTGCTAATGTTTGAAAATCTCAACGAACAAAAGAAATAATGTGTGGTGATTAGTGACCGTTAATCGATTTCTAAAAGAAATAATTAAATATTTAATAGCTTATGATTCACGTATTAGTTGAGTCCCGTACATTTGTAGTAATATCACATATTTTTGGTGGAAGGGGTGAGCTTGAAAGAAAATTCCAGGGGTAACGGAGTGATTCGAACATACACGACCGGGCCTACCACTCGGCTCCGCGGTCCCCTGACTTTTTAATACAATATAAAGATAAACTATCAATTTCAACTGGATGAACAAAAACCTAATAACCTATTAACATCAAGGGTCTTGTCAATAAATTCCCGCTAGATTGACAGGAATTTTGGGGATAGGTGAATGATATTTACATTGTTCCGCTTTAATCCGCTTAAGGTTTAAGATTACAATGTCCTTTTCAATCAAGTGGAAAGTAAGTTAATCCCAGTTTGCTCTTTGTGTCGACCATTTCTACATTGTTTAAAATTTACTACCTGATTTTACAATATCCTTTTTCTTCCGATTGAGGGAGTCAGTGATTTTCTTCGGGAGAAAGGGAGAACAAGTATTTTATTGGTCTAAATCTACATTGGCCGTTTGTGTAGGTTTATGAGTTTTATGAGTTTTTCGTTTTTATTTTTTTTTTTTTTTTCATTGGGTTAGTAATAAACGACATATTCCCGTGAAATAAATATCCAATGCTGTGATATTTAATGAGAAACCCTCTGGAGAGCTGTGTGAAAATTTGATAAATTTCAATATTAACGAATTGTTTATGCTTCGGTCTAGTTTGAGGGGTTAATGTTGAATTTTATATTTTAATTGCCCACGATAAAGGGCGAGGTCGGTGTAACAGTCCTTCTTGGCCATTCGAGAGATAAACAACAGTTTAACGTAAACTTAAAAAAAAAATATATATAAAAAATAAATAAATAATACAAATCCCATTTATGTACCTGCGAAACCAAACATTTATTACAAACATAAAAATAAATTATCATGACACAAAATCTTAATAAAATAAAGTGTTTTGCAGAAAGATGGATAATTGTAAATTTCGAAATTTTGCCAACACGTAATAAACATTTGAAATTTGGACAGTAAGTCTTTTTATTTACAGATAAAACGAAACAAATAATTGAACTAATTGTCAATGTGTATTTATAATAAGTTAGAAAAATTTATTTTTATCAGAGTGTGTGTGTGTGAGTGAGTGAGTGAGTGAGTTAGTGAGTGAGTGAGTGAGTGAGTGAGTGAGTGAGTGAGTGAGTGTGAGTGAGTGAGTGAGTGAGTGTGTGTGTGTGTGTGTGTNGAGAGAGAGAGAGAGAGAGAGAGAGAGAGAGAGAGAATTTTTCCTTTATTTTTTTAGTTTGCTTTTATATTGTTATATTTTATATAATATATTGAAGACATTTTTTATTACATTGTGGCCTTTTATTGGAGTGTTAAAATATAGAAAATATATTTTTTTGTGAGGGAAATTTTTTCAATTTGTTTATCTAAGTAGAAGTTGGCGGGCAAGGCCGATGCAGAGGATTTATATAATATTTTAAAATATGTTATATTACTTTACAATGACAATTTAAAAATTTAAAAAGAATAACAAGGATAAATGTGGTCTTGTTTTGAAGCATATTCTTTTATAGATTTATAGTTTTAGGTAGTTTTTTAAAGATGTTTTTGTACTTTACATATGGATTAAGTTAATTTTCCTTTGTTTTCTTAGTTTCATTTTTTTTATCGTTATATTTTACATATTGTATATTTAGAAATGTTGGTAAATTAGATTAATTCAGTAAAACATATTGTTTTTATGTTTTCATTTCAAAGGATGTGGTTTAAATTATATATGTAATATGAAGTAATTTTTTAAAATTATATTTTGGCGTTTTATGGAGGGGTAAAATATGAAGGGGTGGTGTGATTGTGTAAAAATTTTTCAATTTGTTTATTAAATTTGCAGTTGGCGGGCAAGCGAATCCGGAGGATTTATTTATTTTAAATATGTCATACTAATTTACAATGACAATTTTAAAATTTAGAATAAGAATGAAAAATGTAATCTTTTTTAGGTATTTTTGTATGGAATATTCTTTTAAGATGTTTTCTTACTTTACATATTGATTAAGTTATTTTTCCTTCGTTTTCTTAGTTTTATATTTATATTGTTATATTACTATGTTTAAACATTTTTGTGAATTGGATTAATTCCGTAAAATATATTATTTTCATTCTTTCATTTCAAAGGTTGTAGTTTTATTATACATATAAGATGAAGCAATTTTTAATGTTGGCGTTTTATTGCGGTGGAAAAAATAGAGGTGATATGATTGAGGGAAATTTTTTTTTCAATTTGTTTATCTAATTTGCAGTAGGCGGGCAAGGTGAATCCGGAAGAGTTATATATTATTTTAAATATGTTATATTAATTTACAATGTCGATTTAAAAATTTATAATAACAACGATAAATGTGATCTTTTTTTTAGGTATATTTATATAGAACATTCTTTTAAGTTGTTTTCTTACCTTAAATATTGAATAACACTTAGGTAATTTTTCCTTTGTTTTCTTAGTTTTGCTTTTATATTGTTATATTTTATGTTTCTATATTTAAACATTTTTATAAAATGGATTAATTCTGTAAAATATATGATTTTTATTTCATTTCGAAGTATGTAGTTTAAATTATACGTGTAAGATGAAGTAACATTTTATTACATTTTGGCGTTTTATTGGAGTGGTAAATATAGAAAGATGATGTGAATGATGGAATTTTTTAAAAAATTTGTTTATCGAATTTGCAGTTGGCGGGCAAGGCGGATCCAGAGGATTTATATGATATTTTAAAATATGTTATATTAATTTACAATGACAATTTAAAAATTTAAAAAGAATAACATACGAATAAATAACGATAAATTGATTCATTTTTTTAGGTATATTTATATGGAACTAAGTTGTTGTCTGGCTTTACATATTGATTACACTTAATTAAGTTTTCCTTTATTTTCTTAGTTTTGCTTTTATATAGTTTTATTTTATGTATTGTACATTTCTATATTTAAAAATTTTTGTAAAATATATTATTTTTATGTTTTCATTTCAAAGGTTGTAGTTTAAATTATACATGTAAGATGAAGTAAATTTTTATTACATTTTGGCGTTTTATTGGAGTGTTAAAATAAGGTGTTATGATTGAGGGAATTTTTTTTTTTTTTTTTTAATTTGTTTATCTAATTTGCAGTTGGCGGGCAAGGCGAATCCGTAGGCTGCTGGTGCAAAGCAGTCCGAAAGCACGTGCTTGTGAGGCGTAAAAAGCGGGCGCGGGGCGTGGGTTGATTGGCGGAGCGGCGGCGCCGGGGACCAATGAGAGCGGTGTGTTCGAATTTTGGCGGGCGGCGGGTGGCGTTTCCCCCACTCGGTCCGCTTCTCCCCGCTCCGACCCAGAGCTACCTCGTGCCTCGTGTTAGCCAGTCGCACACGCCGGCTTAGACAGTCAACACTTTAGAGTCCACGCTTAGCAAACACAACTCACACCAAAACTCCGACTATATTTTTGTACAGTGTCGATTGACGTTTTATACAAACTCTTGTGATCGTGTTTTTAATGTTTATACCCGGAGGCGGACTGTAGGAGAATCTTCTAGTTTTTATAAGTAGACTTGTATCGGCTTCTCGTGTTTCACCGGCCCTCGATCGACTTCCCCGATAAGTGATGCCTGCGAGTATGTTTTGCGACCTGGAGCAGAACGGTTTCGAGGACCAGAGGGCCCTGCAGCTGGCCTTCGAACTCTCGATGCTGGGCCTGAGCGACAACTCGCTCACGACTGCGGCGGCCGCAGGCCCGGGCACCGCGGCCCCGGAGCCCGAGACACCCGCCATCGGCAGCCTCCCTTCAGCCTTCATCGTCCCGGACGAGGCCAGGGGGAAAAAGAGCCAGAACATGACCGAGTGCGTCCCAGTGCCCAGCTCCGAGCACGTCGCAGAGATCGTCGGAAGACAAGGTTAGTAATCACATACCTATTTTGCACCCTATCCTATGCGAACCTAATCTATCCCACGGCTAAAGGTCCATTTCGTCGTCGAATTAACTTTTTTAACAAGACTCATAAGAAAACGTTTGCCCCTTTGTCGAACGGGTTATTATTAGATCGGTCACGGGCGTATCAACCCTAACAGAAAACTAATCGAATTCCGTAAAATTTCACTTAGAAAATCGCATCATTGCTATCTTCCCATTGGGCTTTCCTTCCACGAAATCTTTACATTAGGAAATTGCGTAAGGCAGCAGACCGGGATCAAAACAAACAGTCAAAATCTTTTCTAGATTGCCACCTAAGGCGTCCTTTGAGTCTAATATTTACAATGAAAAATAAATTCAAGTTAAACGTGAGATTCTCAAAGATTGTTATAATTTTGACTTCGTGCTCGGCCTGCTGTCGCTTCTGCAAACTTCATCCTTTCACGCCCGCCCGTTTTATTGACCGGGTTATTAGCCGGTTCGGTCATGGGCGTATTAGCCCCGTTTACTGTCGATTTTTTTTTCTCGCGAAAAACCACACGGTCACGTCTTCGAAGGTAGAAAAAATAAATAAATACTGGAGTTGGACGGTATAAGGGATTCCATGAACACATGACAGACGGACCGGAGAAAAGGTCTTCCGCGTACTAGTGTTTATTGACCGGTTTATTAATAGCTGGCGGTCTGATAAAACGTCCCACAGTTCACTTACCTCGGGATTTCTTCGCCGTCCTTGAACCTCGCGTGATAGTCCGCCGTTTTCTTCCTTTTTTCCACCTTCTAAGGTTTCTGGAGAGACAAAAGCGGCTGTCGACGGCAGCTGGCCGGAAGGGGGCTCGGTGGAAAAAACGCCCGGCCCGACGTCATGTGCTTCCAACATATGGCCTCCAGCCACCGGGTCCCATTTCACCCTCCGTTCCTCATCGACGCCTCGAAAACCGACGTCGTCGCCGTGCGCGAACGCTTTCCGACTCCCTGGGACGACGATAATCAGGAAAAATCATATTTCCAGGGTTAACGTTGTCCAAAGCATAATTTTTATGGACGATTGTGCAATAACGGACAGGCCTAAAGCTGAAAACAGCGTTTGATCGATATTTTTTTACAGAGGCCTGTGATGCCCTCGTGATGTACAGAATAAAAACAAGTCTGAACGACTTGATTGAAGGTCAACAGCCAAAATATATCCACAAATTTCGCTTCTTCTTTTTCATTCACGAAGGGCCACACAAAAAAATCCCACTGTTAAAATATCTTTGAAAAAATTCTTATTAGAGTGTGTAGTATTGTGCACGAAATATTGTTTTGTTTTTTTAATTACTAGATTTATTCTTGTAATACGTAGTGCTGATAATATCAAATTCTTAAAATATAGGACATTTTTTATATGCTTCACTATAAAAAGCATAATCGTGTTAAATGTGTCCGCATACACAAAAAGAAAACGGAGTTTTGTCAAATTTTAAGTTACACAAAACTTGAGTCGCCTTAACTTTATACAAAATTTATCTTCATTTTTTTCATAAAAGATAACAGAAAAATCATACTGTGAAAAATCTCAGAAAAAAATTCTTATTAGGCATTGTAGAACTGTGCACGACAATTTTTTTCTTAATTAATAGAGTTTTCTTGTAATACGTAGTGTTGATAATACAAGTTCTTAGAAATACAAGACATTTTTTATGTGTTTCTAGATAAAAAGCATAATCGTGTTAAATATGTTCGCATAAATAAAAAGAAAACGGAGTTTTGTCAAATTTAAGATGCACAACACTTGAGAATGCCTTAGACAAAACTTTTAGCCAAAATTTAGCTTCATTTTCTTTCAAGAAAGTCCACAGAGAAATCCTGCTGTGAAAATATATCTCATAAAAAAACTAAAGAGTTCTTATTTGGGATTGTAGTACTGTACTAGATATATTGTTTTCCCCTCTTAATTACTAAATTTATTCCCATACATAAAAAAACACAGTTTTCTCAAATTTAAGATCGATCAATAATCCTGAGAATGCGTTTGATACATTTTTATCCAAAATGACCGCTGGTTGTACAAAATGTGGGTTCCTTTTTGGTCAAGTAAGGACGTAAACCCTGCAGTGACAATATCTCACCCAAAATATCAAAAATGTCTTATTAGAGATTGTAGTATTGAGCACGAAATATTGTTTTTTTCTCTCTCTTTCTCATTTAAATACTCTTAAATAACAGGGCACGTTTTGTTTGCTGTAAAATGGTAAACAAACCATATAAATGCTCCCTCATAAAATAATAGAACGAGTTTTGGTAAATTTTCGATCTACCAATCGTGAGAATGTTTTTGGCACAAATTTTATCCAAAATTCAGCTTCCTTCCTTTAACAGAACGCCTTCAACCACCCTACATTGACAGTATCTCCCAGTAAAATCTAAATCTAATATTTTCTTTACTTACAAATTTAAATTGCAGTATTGTGCACGAAATATTGTTTAAACAAATCATCTTACAAATACAAGTACGTAGGTCGATCATTTCAAATGTGCTTAAAATACCAAATTTATTTGTTTGTGTGGGTTCTTTATTATGACATGCATAAATTTATAAATGTTCTTATTTTAATTAAAAAATTAAGAAGTGCCAAAAACTAAATTTTCCTTTTAGTTATTAGATATTTTAGTATTGTGCACGATTTTTTTTCTCTTGAATACTAAATTTATTCTTGCGGTACTTAGAGTAATGATCCTAGTAGTTTTTAAATAGATTTTTTTGTGTTGTTTATGTTGATAAGCATAACAGTTTCAATATTCGTACGTAAAATAAATGTTTTGTCGAATTTTCGATCGACCAATCTTGAGAATGCTTTGGATACAAATTTCATTCAAAATATCTTCCGGTCGTACAAACCGTAGCTTCCATTACAGTCACGTAAGCCCACAGAAAAAGCCTGCAGTGAAAACATCTCCATGGAAACTTTTAAATATTTTTCATTTTTAGAGATTTTGATTGTAGTTTTTGTGCTGCAGTGACAATATCACTTGACAAATCTAAAAAACAAGTATTTAGAGATTTTGATTGTAGTATTGTGCATGAAATATTGTTTTTTCTCCTTAAATACTAGATTTATTCTTGCAAAATCTATAGTTGTGATAGTAGTATTTAATATAAAACATTCTTTGTGTGCTTTAGGATGATAAACATTACGGAATTTTCTCAAATTTTACGTTCGACCAATCATGAAATTCCATCCAAAATTTAACTTCTTTTTATCCAAGTAAGGCGAATGCAGTGACAATATCCTCTTGAAAAATCTAAATATATTTCTTGATTTGGATTTACTCGTGTAATAGTTATAAAATTTAGGTTGATCATTTAACTAATACTTAGAATATCTGAATTATAAAATTTAGGTTGATCATTTAACTAATACTTAGAATATCTGAGTTTTTATCTGTGATGAATTATAAGAGAAAAAAATAAGTCTGTCAAATTTTTGATTGAGTTTTTCCCCTGGCTTGAAAGGGCGTCATGAGTGCATGCCTGTTTTATTCCTAGCTATATTCAATATATCTACTATTTTTTATTCGTTTTCTAGCCTAGAGTATAAACTGTTTAAAAGAAAAAAAATATTTTTGAAATAATAGATTCCGTTTGAAAAAAGAAAAAAGCATATCTCTCGGGAAATATTCACCAATTATTTTATGCACAATTATTTCAATTTTCTGTGTTAAAAAAATATCGTATACAATTGAAAACATCCTTGTTCATGTCGGTGTGTTAATTGAAGAGAGTAGAAACACGGTAATTTGTTAAAAGGGAAATTGTTTAGTGAAACATTTCCTTTGTAAAATCGGGTCTTAATCTTAGGTTTATATTAAGCAGTTTAGAATATTGGGTCTTCTGGCTATTTTATAGCGGAATCATTGAAAAGACAGGATCAGTTCTGATTCATCTTGGTGCCATACATATTTGGTGTTCTGCTATCGATATTATAGCTGGACGCCAGGACTTTTTTATTAGTCAATCTTATCGAAGACCCTACTTGGCACGAATGCCGTCCCACCCGGTGTCCTCTCAGGGCGTCATTGTTAAAAATACGCGAGTGAACAAGTTTTATTAAGCGGGATCATCCTGAGAGATGCCATGACGAGTCCCATTAGTGTAGCCCTGGGGGGATACAGGCCATGCCAGTGAAAGTATTGCGCAATCCAGTCCTCGACAATCGTCTCACGCCGGGGCTCAAGGCCTAAGACCCGTCAAGTTCATGCCAGAGCGTTCCCCTTTTTGTTTTTCTGGAATGGTCTTTTTTTTCCACTCCGGATCACCATTGTTTTCGTGCCTTTTTTCCCGAGACGCATCGTAAAACGAATGGTACATCGCTGCCATCGAGACGTTTGATCACGTTATTTGATTTTAATTCCATGGATATTGATTTGACAAAAAACCTGTAATCTCGTTGCATAAGGACCAACAGGGCCAATATTATTGATTTCATTCTAATCCACGCTTTATATCATCAATTATTATTTTACATAACACCCAAACTGTAAAATTTGTAAGGTTTCATTCAAGTTTTCACTCAGTCCTCTGGCCCAATTAAGATAAGTAAATTTTTTTGATAAAACAGTAAGAACGTGCAATCCTTTCAGACTGTGTCACATGTTTCAACTCGATAAGAACCGTTTCCGTCGTAGTAGTCAATTTTAGATCGACCTCCACAAATTTTCCAACGTTCTGACACCAGAGACGTTATTAAAAACGATGATAATAAAAAAAAAATCAAATATAAACAGATTGTAGGTTATTTTTTGAAAGTAGTGCGACTTTGCATGTAGTTTTTCGTATTGACTCTGATCTCAAGAATTAAAAAAAAGAAAAAAAATGTTGGGTAGGTCTACAGTATGTAGTATTATTTAAGTTCTTTATAGCATTTAACTTATCCCTCGTTTAGGTTTTTTAAAAAAGAAAAATTTTGAATTATGTGATTTGCTACTAGTACGACAAGGTTCGTCTGGTGCATCTAAAAAACAATAATATATGAACCACTGTCCGATTATCAAACCTTTTTTTCTCCACTTTTTATCTACGGCTTTAGTCATACATCTTGTCGTAGGTCTTGAGCAATTCATTTTGGGGGAAATCTGATAACTGCATTGGAAAAAATGTTAAATTTCCTTTAAGAAAGCACACTTCCAGAAATATCGATTTAATTTTTGGTAAAAAGACGAAATCTAAATCTTTCAAAAAATCTGCTAAATTTAAGATCTGTATAAGCCAAATTTTGCAAAATTCAAGGTAGAACTTCGCAAATGTCAAACTTTTTCGTCTAATAACATTTTTAGCGGTAGACGATGTTTTTTTCAATCAATATCGGACCATAATGCAGAAATTTTACCCTAAAGGGTAAGGGAAAAGTGGTGTCGGTGATAAGAAAGAAGGGTTAATCTAATAATAGTGATTCAACTTTTTGTCCCGGGCAAAATTTATTTCCCAACCTAAATTTAATAAAAAAGCACAGAAAGAAAGAAAAATGAAACAAAACCCATAAAAAGAGACAATAAACATAACGAACAACTAAAGCAGAAATATTGTGTAAAATATCTACTCTACACAGCCAAAAGAAAAACACAACCATATAGAAGTTGTAAAACGCAACATTATCCTAATACAAAAAGCAAGAAAATTTCAATCAAAATCAAACTAAATACATTAAAAAGTAGACAGTAAACATATTTAACTATTAAATTAAGTTGTATTTTTCTTTGTTTCGTATCATGGTTCATACGAGCTTTTGTTTCATTTGAAGTGTAGAAGCATCTGACGAACTTTTTCTTATAGCGAATCGCCACGTTTAGAAAGTCCAAACTTAGAATTTAGAGAAGTAGAATTGGAGTAGTTCTTCTTTGTTTGCCTCTTAATCTGCATGTCTGACCGATTATCTTCTAGGTGGAATTCGATTCGACCATTTGCGATGACGACGGCTTCAAAATGTGGTAATTTGTCTGGTGAATTTTAATCCGCAATGTGTTTTGTATGCAGAAGAGGTTTAATATTCTTTCATTAAAAAAGGTCTGATCGTTCTCGACTATCGTGATCTGCCGATTAGTAGATTCGTCGCATAGCGAGAGTAGGCGGACCGGGATGGCCTAAGACGATCTCACTGAAGATAAAACGTTCAACACAAACCTTTACAGGGTTTTACAAGGAAAAATTGCGTATTTTTGTTCTTTGTTGCGTTCATGGTATGTGTCCTTTTTCGTTGGTGTGAATTGTTTTATCATTTGTATTTTAGATTTTTTTTTAATATGTTATTCAATGTGATTTTTGGTTTAGACAGTGTCAAAGCTCAACTGAAATAGTTTACCTGTTCAAAATTGAATTCTATTTCTATTCGTTTTCCTTTTGAAATTCAATTTGATTGACAGCGCTCGTCGTGAACACTTGCCAAGCCATAATCGGAAGGAGGCTTT